CTCGATCCTCCTGAGGGGTAGTGGGCAAAGACCTCGATCCTCCCCGGCCTCCACGATCCGCGATCCTCGATCCTCCTGAGGGGTGGTGGGCAAGGTCCTCGATCTTTTCCGACCTCCACGATCCTCGATCCCCCTCGATCCTCCTCGACCCTCCTCGATCCCCCTCGATCCTCCTCGACCCTCCTCGATCCTCCTCGGTCCTCCTCGATCCTCGATCCTCCTCGATCCTCCACGATCCTCCTCGATCCTCCTCGGCCTCCGCGATCCTCGATCCTCCTCGATCCTCCTCAGCCTCCACGATCCTCGATCCTCATCGGCCCTCCCGAGGGAGGGGCCCAGCCCGTCCAGCCCCGCGAGGAGGACGTGGGCGAGGGCGCGGCAGAGCCCAGACCTGCCAGGAGGGCTAGGAGCTAACGTTAGGTAGGGCATGTCCCCCCACATTCGGATTTTGGACGAAGAACTAGAAATTGTCGTCCAGAAATGTTCAAAATTCGCCGGCCCAACGGGCCAGAGGCGTGCTAAGATCTCCGGTAACTGGTTAACAATATTCTATTTCGCGCGTGCGGGGCGGCCCCTGGGGTCCCCGGGCGAAAAGTACCCCGGCAAGGTCCCGGCAAGGTCCTGGCAGGTCCGGGTCAGAAATGCCGGACCGGGCATTTTTTCGACACCCCTCACGAGGATCGTGGCCTCCGAGGGGGGAGCCGCAATCGACTATCCCCCCTCCCGCCCCAAGAGGCCCCCAAGAGCCCCCCAAGAGGCCCCGGGGGCCTCCAAGACGCCGCCAAGGAGCCCCAAGAGACTCCCAAGAGGTCCCCAAGAGGCCCCCAAGAGGCCCTGAAGAGGGCTCCATGGCCGGCGGAATGAGCGAAGCGATTAAATGGCAAATAATAGTCGACAAATCGTCCCCATTGAATTGTTTAACAATTTTTGAATTTGCCTCCTGTAGAGGGACATGCCTGACTTCAGGCTAAGAGACAACAGCGTGACCTTGTGATCCAAGTCCTGGCCAAAAACATAAACGGCCCTCGCTGGCCTAGACGTTCTGCGGGCTAACTACTTTGTAGCAATCTGGAGCGTCAGGGGAGGCAGAGGAGGAGGAGGAGGACGAGGAGGAGGAGGGAGGAGGGAGGAGGGAGGGAGGGAGAAGGGAGGGAGGAGGGAGGAACGAGGAAGGGGGAAGGGGGGGGGGGGGGGCCGGGGGCCGCGGCGGGGCCGGCCCTCGCGAGCGAGCGAGGGCGGCCGAGCCCGGGGCCGCACCCGGGACGAAGAGGCTGCGCACCGACTCCTGGCCTGAGCGCCACGCCGGGGCGGGGAGCGTCGCCGGGGAGGGCACGCGGGTGCGCGCAGGGTGGGGGGGGGAGGAGGAGGAGGAGGATGGAGGAGGAGGAGGAGGAGGAGGAGGGGAGGAGGGAGGAGGAGGAGGGAGGAGGAGGAGGAGGAGGAGGAGGGAGGAGGAGGAGGCAGGAGAGGAGGAGGAGGAGGAGGGTAGGAGGAGGAGGAGAAGGAGGCGGTGTGCGCAGGGCGGGGGAAGGAAGGAGCGAGCAGAGTCCGCCGGCCGGTCGGCCAGCAGGCCCGTTGGGGGCAACGCGGGTGGGCCGGGGCCCGCCAACTGCACTTGCTGGACGAAGGCGCGTGTCCCATACGGAGTCGGAGTTGGAGCCGGAGTCGGAGAGATGGGAAAGGACCAAGAGTCGGAGGGAAAATCAGAGCCGGGTGTGCACAGGGCGAGGGGGGGGAGCGGAGCAGCAGAGAGGCAGTTCCGAGACGAGGAGGGGTGGAGCAGAAGCGAGCACGAAGGGGAAATAGGAAGGGCGGACATGCAGGGCGCAGCTGGCACGCGCCCAGACGCGAAGGACGCCTGCGCGGCAAGGGGACGGGGGCGGGGCAGAGGACAGGAGGTGTGCTCAGACACCTCCCGCATCTGAGAAGCTAGTTGCCGCCTCAGGAGGAAAGACCTCCCCTCGCACAACTGCCCCCCCTTCGAGGAGGACGCCAGCTGTACACCTGCGCCGAGCCTGGCCAGGTCGAGTCTGGGCCTAGGATCGGTGTAGACGCCCTTTTGGCTTGTGCAGGTGCGTGGATCCTGGTCCATAGCTAGGCCCCTGCGACCTTCTGCGCGCCCCCAGCCCCCGAGGGAGCACCTTCGCTGAGGGGGGGGACCCGCTCAGGGTGGAGAACATCGAGCTTGAATCGCCGACACATCGCCGATGGATTGGCGGTAGGCACCCGATGGCGCATCCGCTCGTTCCTGGGGCGGGGTGGGACCTGCAGGGCCTCCATCGGCGATGAGCTGGCGATGGGGGGCCGACGCTTCCCCCCCTTGAGCCTCGCCGATGGATCGGCGACAGGCCCGCGACAGCGAATCCACACGTTCCTGGGCGGGGTGGGCCTATTCGGCCCCCCTCGGCGATGAAGGAACGACTGGGGGTCGACGCATCCCTCCCTGGACTACTCCCCCCTAACGTTAAGTCGGGCCTGTCCCTCTGCAGGAGGAGTATCCAAAAATAGTCAGAAAATAATATGGGGAGGATTTTGTGACCCTTTTTGACCAGTTTGGAATACGTTTGGACTATTCTTTATTTTTCGTCCAAAATCCCCCTGTAGGAGGACACGCCGGACCTAACCCTAACGTTGCCCCTCGGCTTTCAGGCCACAACTCGGCTCCCCGGCGGCCGTTGGGGACGATCTGGGCACCCCCGAAACGCCCTCGGCGAGGCGCAGCCGCTGGAAGGCATCCCGAGAGTGGGAAGCCGCCGAGAGCCGACGAAAACGCCAGAAAACCTCAGACCTCGAACCCGAAACATGTCCCCCTGAACCTGATCAGGGGTCCAAACATCGATCCCTTGGCCTCTCCTGGGTTGCGTTCTGGCCAGAATTTCGAGGCGGTCACAGCCGTGGCCACGAGGGCGTCCCATGACGATCGAAGACCTCCCGAAAGCGACCCTCGAAGCTCGAACCTCGACCCCTCTCAGCCTATCCCACTCATCCCGGAGGCCCTCGCCAGGCGCCGGGACCGTACCAGAAACTGCCCGCGGGAGAAAAAACTGGCCGCGGGGAGAAGGGCCCAGACCCCTGGGAGTCCACGCTACGATTAGGTCGGGCATGTCCCCCTACAGGCCGATCTTGGACGAACAATTCAAAAATACGCAAAAAATGCCCGACAATCGTCAAAAACGTCCCCCGACTGTGTTTTGACTAATTTTGATTATTCCTCCCGTAGAGGGACAGGCCTGACTTCACGCTACGAGAGAAGCACGACGTCGGAGGCCCCGGGCCTGGCGGACGCTCTCGGGCGCACGGCGGCCGCCAGAAAGCTCGGAGCAGGGCCAGCGGAGGCCACAGCGGCCCTCCAGGCCACAGCCCACTCGACATCGGCCCCCAGACCCCTCCCGGCACAAAAAAAAACCCGATCGAAAAGACTATCAAGCCTGCTCGGATGCTGATGCGTTTTGTGTGCCAAGCGCAGGTAGCTTTCGCCCTCCAGGGGCTCTTCAGCCGAAATGGCACTGCACAGAAGCATCGGACGAAAGGTCGCTCGCATGCACAGTTTTCAAAAAAATCCAGGCCCTACCCTCCCTGCCACTGCCTGGGCCCAGACCCCTGGGAGTCCACGCTATGCGAGAGAAGCCCGACGTCGGAGGCCCCGGGCCTGGCGGACGCGCTCTCGGGCGCCCGGCGGCCGCCAGACAGCTCGGAGCGGGGCCAGCGGAGGCCACGGCGGCTCTCCAGGCCACAGTCCGCTCAACATCGGCCCCCGGACCCTCCCGCTCGGCGGCAGGGAGGGGAGGGGAAGAGGAGGAGGAGGAGGAGGAGGAGGAGGAGGAGGAGGAGGAGGAGGAGGAGGAGGATAAGAGGGAGGAGGAGGAGGAGGAGGAGAAGAAGAGGGTGGAGGAGGAGGAGGAGGAGGAGGAGGAGGAGGAGGAGGAGGAGGAGGAAGAGGGGGCCAAGCCGGCCCCATCTCTCAGGCAGATGTGAGCCGTGCCGACGAGAAGCCTCCCGGAGGCCCAAAAGCAGGACGAGGAACGCCAGGGAGGGCCGCCCGTGTCTCGACCGTGGCCCCGCCAGCAAGGAAAAAACGGGGGGGAGGGCCTGTCCCCGGGAGCAGGGCCGAGAGCGTTCTGGGAGCATCCCCTGGGGTGGGCGAGCGAGGGGGGGATCGCAGAGGGGCGTTTCGCGGATCAGCTGCGCGCGGCCGGCTACCTCTACGACCGCCGCCCTGCGGGCGATAGGGAGGTTGGGGGGGATTGAGATGAAATGCCCACCCTGACTGACCTCCAGCCTGTCACCTTGATCTCATCTCTCTTTTTCTCTCTGTCTCTCTCTCTCTCTCTCTGTCACTCTCTGTCTTTCTCTCTCTCTCTCTCTCTCTCTATCGCCCTCTCTCTCTTTCTCTCTCTCTCTCTCTCTCTCTCTTTCTCCCCCTCTCTACGATAAAATAAGATGGATGGGTTGGATAAGGTAAGATGAATTGGATTTGCCCGCCGCAGGCGCAGAAACAAATGAATTGATGGATTGGGTTGGATGGAGTGGATTGGGTGGGATAAGATAAGATAAGACAATATGGGTTTGATAATATAAGATGGATTGGATTGGACAATATGTATTGGATAAGGTAATAAAGCTGGATTGGATAAGAAAGCCCGCCGCAGGCGCCGAAACAAATGAATTATGAAATTCGCGACATGCGTTAGCGCTGGGACGCCCGGGACACCTGGGACACCGCCAGGCCCAACTGGGACACCTCCCGGCCACCGGCGGACGGGAAACGGACTTTCGCTCCTACTGACACCCGGGACACCTGGGACACCGCCCGGCCCAACTGGGACACCTCCCAGCCACCGGCGGACGGGAACGGACTTTCGCTCCTACTTCGGCCTAGCTAGCTACAGGGGGATCACGCGCAGCTTCGCCTCACCCGCACGCACGACACGAACACGAAACCGAAACCGATTTCCCGGCGGGAGGTCTCCGTTTCACTGCGATCTCACCCCCCAACCTCCGATACTTCCAGCGCCCCCCAACGCCACAGGAGGCCATGTATCGAGGAACTGGCCTGGCGGTTGGGCCCTGGCACCCTCCCGTCACCATTCCCCCCTTTCGTCCGTCGTCCTCTTGCCCCCCTTCCACCCTCCCCCCCCTCAATCCTCTCAGCGCATGACCTCCCCCAGACCCCCGACGTCATGATTTGTTGATGAGGTCGACCCCCAGAGGTTTCGACCCCTTCCCTGGGACCGGCTTTTCATCCTGAGTCGTTTTTTGACGGTCCCGAGGCCCGGCAAGGGCCCCCAGAGGCTGAAAATGACGAAAAACTTCCCGTCGTGATTTTTGTCGCTACTCGAGGGGGTCTGGGCCCCCAGCACCATCCCTCCTCGCACCGGGCGTTCCTGCTCGGCTTCGGGTCGGGTTCCCGGGGCCGTCGCGGACCGGCCGGGCGCGAGCAGCGCCGCGGGACGACAGGAGCAAGGCGGCTGCGACGGCGGGCCTCCGCGGGTCGGGCGGCGGGGGCGGTGGCAAGCGGGGGGATGGGAAGCAGGCTGAGTCCAATCCCTGTTGTAAGTCCCAAGGGGGGTCTGCATCTCTCCCGCGAACGAGGGGGCCCTGCTGTCCGCGCGAGGCAGTGTGAAGGCAGATGTCACATCAAATTGCGCGGCGAGCTTGCCTCGGCAAGCAACTTGCCGCGACGTCAGGAGCTGCTCTGACGGCACTTCCTGCGTCGCGGTGCACTGGCCCCCTCGGCCAGGGATTATCCCTGATCAAACAAAACAACAACGAAACGCGCGCCAACAACAACAAAACGCTTCAATTTCAAACGCGCTTAAGCCAAACACGAACAACACAACGGAGCAACTACGAAAACGAAAACGACAACGAAAAACGAAGGCAAAAACCAAGCTAAACAGCGTTTCTGTGGGTCCTTGGAATCAGCTCACGTGGCTGCTGTTCCAGGCGGCGGGGCCAAAGCCAGCTGCGCGCAGCAGACTGCGCATCCCGACTTCCTCTCAGGGCATGCCCGGTCCCCGATCCGTGACCGGCCCTGCGCCCTGGCACCCCCCTTGGGCGTTCGGGAGCGGATTGGCTCCGAGGAGGGATTTGCTACACGTCGTTCATTTCTAATCGCGCTCATTTCTAATTGTGTTCGTTTCTAAGTGTTCCTGGCCCCCTAGTGGCCAGGAAGAGACCCAGGATAGAAGAATTAGAAACGAAAGGATCTTGGCCCCCCCAAAATCAAAGAACTTCCGAAGAATTAGACATGAACAGCGCGTACCGTTCAGGATCCTCGGGCCGAGGTG